GGTGAAACAGGCCAGGTGGCTAAATCATTATGCTGACAGACTGAACGTATTAGAAGTTCTCTCTTGACCCACATGCTCTTAATAAAAGGTTTTATTTCATTCCTCTGCACACACGGGCTTCTGTTGCAGCCTCCCTTGAGAGAGCTTTGCTTACCTCCTGGAGCCTGGAAAACATTCCCCTGCTCTTTGCACACTAATCTGCTCTGGAGGACCAGAGGTCCTCATCAAACTGCTCTGCCCTCTAATTCTTCCCTGAATGCTTGCTTTCAAAACAAGCCAAAAAGGGAAATGAATGCTTATTCCATCAGAGGTTCTGGCATGTTACATTAAACAAGCAAGGCATGTGCAGAATATATATGTTTCGGGAAGAAAGAGATGTTAGTATCAGGTTAATCTTGCTTTCTACTTGAGATCTGTGTATAAACAGGCATGAGACTGGAAAAGGGCAGTGGTTAACCGTTTCGTGCACAAGCATGACAAACCGCATTTTTTCCACTCGCTTAGGCACTACCATTGCGAGAGGGAACCTTATGAACTTCAGACTGCCTTTCAGACGAGGACTTCAAAGCGCTTGGCAAATATAGATTTGCTGTCATCATGTCACATCAATTCACTCTCGACCAGAAGGCTGCCTGGTTTTAACAAGGAATGGAATTACTAGTCTGATAATAACATCTTCACCATGGTATAGGTGCCTTTTTCTCAAGCGGTGTATCTGCTATTTGAATTTCCAAGTACTTAAGCTACATGCACGGAGAGAACTAAAGTGACCCGAGAGTGAGTCCAAAGTGTTGTCTGTATTGACGGGTGAATCTTTTCATCCATTCTTTGAGTGATAGTAGCACATCTCAGCCTTTTCATGCTCATTTATTTAAATCCAAAGCAACAAAGGGAAAGTCCACATTGGATCCGATGCCACTTGGCAATGATTCACAAGTGGAAATTTCCTTTTGGCCCTACTCAATGACGGATTTGTATTCCATATTGTGAGACTGTGAACAGTTTTCACTACACAGAGCAACCGTACTATTTATGTAGCTATATAATCCATAGTCCTCAAGCGACATGTGCTTTGGCATTACCTCGCTGTTGTAAGATAGCTAGCCCTGTGTTTTGGAAAAAATTGAATACACAACTTAGCCAGCCTTTCATGAAAAGCCACAGTGGTCTACTAAAGCTGAGAGCTGAAGAAAAGGCACTGGTTGTCTCCCTCCGACCGTGCTAGGGCCAACCCTGTGCACCACAGGCATGATTTCAGAAAAGACCAACAGCTTTACCAGCATGCACAGGCACCAACCTCACGCCTACGGACTTTAGGTACTTATTTATTCAGAACAGGGAGAATACAATTCTGAACACCGTCACTTCAGATCCTCAACAGAAAGGACACGGGTGACGTGCTCTGAGCGTGACAGCCGCACGTCACAACTCACGTAATAGGCCTTCAGCATAACCATCCCACCCAGCCAGCTCCCGCGTTCTACACGTTTGCATTCCACACATAATGCAAAGCAGCATTTGGCCTGCCAGGGCCTTTTAGCAGTACCGCACACATGATCTCACAGGCACTCCAGACTGGGCCCAGCAAAACACTTCCCCTTGTACTTTGCTTTAAACATATTTGCAATCTAGTGAAGGGAACTAATGGTGCTGAAGTTTGAGCCGGCAGCGGGGTGCTTTGCTTTCTTAGTCCCCACACAGAACACCCACCAAAGTCATTAGGCGGGATGAGTGGAGGGCTAATTGCAGTATTTTGGTCTATAGCGATCCCCTGCGAGACGCAGTGTGTGCCTTTAAACGTGTTGTTCCTTGCACTGAAGTATCTACCACAGTACTCGCACTTCAAATGGGAAATAATGCAACTATGGAGGCAATAATGCAACTAGTGTGGGTGGTAACCAGCCAATTCTTCTTACACCTACAGCATATTTTGTTCCAGAAGACCATATTAATGCTATTAGGGGAATTACAAAATTGTTATAATGGGACCTGCTAGGCAATATTGTGTTTTTGGAAACTTAAAATAGTAATGACCGCCCTAAATTTTCACTACAGTTGCTTTTCTTCTTCAATTCAGCCTGCTGTCTCTCTGCAGGCTCTCTAGTTTAATGACTGTTAATCCTTTCATGTTAACAGAAAAATACTAACTACTGGATACGGGAGTGTGTGTGTGTACTAGCAAGATCATTAGTCTGAATAAATGTGACAGCAGAGTTGCACAAGAAATGCCACAGTTAGTGGTAAGCACAAACTACAGCTTTGGGTGTAAAATACTGTAATTACAAGGGATGGAGAAAGCTCCACAGTTTTTATCCCCACAGAAATCGATAGTGGTGCAGACTGCTGCTCTTTGCTGGAGCAGGGGCAGTCTGATGAAAGAGCTTATTGATTTATCCAGCTGATGCTACTGTAGTGAATAATAGACTGGAAGAGAAAGGGCTTGTAAATTAGACTCATTCAATCCAACATTTTCCAGGATATCTTTTATGTATGGCTATATAGAGATATATATTTACAAGTGGGTTTTTGTCAAAGCAACAGCCTAGCGACTCCTGGTAAGAGGGTCTGTCTCCAGTCTGTCAACTGCACTCACGGTGCTGTCAACCTTCAAGCTCTCCCTAAAGACTGACACTAAGGAGGAAGCACCAGGGCACTTAGGAGCAGGATTTGGCTACGGTGCAGGTAAGCAGCTGGCCAACACCTCTCCTGCAGGGCTACAGGCACAGAGGAAAGGTGGCTGTGTCTCCCCCCATGCCACCTGTGCCGTGACAGACCCACTGGCACAAAGGCATTGGAAAAGTCTCCTATGGATCCACAGGTCCCTGGCTAGGAGAAACACCAGCGCCAAGTCAGCCCCCACCAGCCTCAAGTAACGTGGAAAGAAACATGGTGTTTTAGGAATGAAAGGAGTCCTGTGTTTCTTCTTAGCTCAGCAAGCAGATTTGCTATGAATCTAGAGCCACACCGGCAAAAAAAGTAAGTGTTCAGATTGGGTTTGCATAAACTGAGAAGGAGAAAGAAAGAAAAAAAGAGAGAGAGCAGCAGGCATGCTGCCACCAAGTACAGGGAATCAATCTTCTCAGCAGTGATGGATCAGGGAGCAGGACTGTAAGTTTTACAGGTATATGAAACCCCGCGAGTATAAAGACACCATTAAAACATTGCCATTAAATTCCAGCGCTGAAGGATGATCACAGCCCCTGGAGCCAAGCAGGTCAATACGTGACTGTATATTTTTCATTACCATTTTTTATATACATATATATGAAGCAGAATAGGATGCACAACAGCCTTACCCTCTCTCCCGCTGAAGACCTCTGCTTTATACTCAGCAGCCACTTTCACAAATAAAATGCAATATACCATCAACAGATAAATGAGATCCCTACAGGGCTTTTATTTTGCCGTACCATTATATCTACTTTTCCACAAGATTTCTGCTTAAATGGCTCTCTTTATGCACATACACAAAGATGACATACACCTGTCTAAATATAATCCGAATGCAAAGAGCTCTTCTGGATGAGGAAATGTATCTTTTCTTCCTAATTTACCATAATGACTTATTCACACTGCTAGAGCTAGGGGTGCGTTAGCTTCCCCACTATAAAAGTCACCTAGGTGTTATACAGTAAGACGTGGCTGGATTTTTTTTTTTCCCCCCTATCTTTAGAAAAGAACAAGAGAGGAGGTCTGAATCTCACCCTTCTGTCTTCCCCATAAAAACAAATGTTCTGAGGAATTGCAGCTTTATCGGCTGCTGACATTGACTAATAGTTTTTAAAGTGATGAAAAGTGTTTCTGCAAGCCACGCTAAAGAAGCCTTCTTTGTAAATCTGGGAAACCTCAGAGCAAATGGCCATGCTGTGCCATAGGGTAGCTCAGAGAGCGCTGCCAGCACAGTAGCCACCTATATGGCACTTATTCACAAAGCAGACCTATTTATTAGCTAGTAGTGTCACTCTTCTGTCATCGTGACTATTTCTGTCAAAAGTAACCTGCCTTGGAGAATAAAAAGTCCTGACTCCTTTTTCATGAGAGAATTCAAAGCATTATATGACCTGGACAAGTAGATAGCGGACAGTTACAGCGACAACTCTCTGGGAATCAGAGAGCTGAGGCTCGACAGAGAAGTACTGCAGAGAGACAGCACGAAGGAACAGGAGAGAGGTGTATGTGAGGATTTTGGCTCAGGTTATTGTGCTAACAAAATGTGAAAGGAAGTTTCAATGCACCAGCAGAACAGAGTCAACCTAATTTTTGAGAAGGGATGGGGTGCAGAGAAGACTAATTGTTATCAGCATATGTCAGAATCACACTACAAGCCTACTTTTTTTTTAATTCTTGCTCTTATTAGTCACAAAGGTGGGACCACAGCATGAACAGGCACAGGCAGAAGAGACTTCAGTGCCAGTGCTGATCTTCATGAAGCTGCAGCATGCTGATAACTGTATGAAGTTTGCATAGGCACTGCATAGGTACAGGGTAGCTCTTGCTACTACAGGGCACCTCAAATTCAAAAAGGGACATAACTATTATATGTAGAAACACATGCACCCACCATTCCTGACAGTAAGAAGCCACAAGCTAATCTGCTTTGCCAAATTTACTCTTTTGAAAATGCTGCCTTTGCCCTAAACCCTCTGGTTTTCATTTGCATTGTCATGAGAGTCACTGCCGAGCCTCCTTGGACAGATGCTGAGCTGGTGTTAGAGAGAAGGGCTGTCTTGTGGGGAGGGCAAGGGGGAGAGAGCTCTGTTATGAGACTTTCTAATTCACTAATTTCTTCACTGCTCAACTTCATAAACCTCAGACAGCATTACATTCACCTTCAAGGAAGAAGAGTGGGGTGACCAGACTGGTGAGAACTGGATTAACTAATTTCTCCATCCTATAAACGATTCTGTGAATTCAAGTCATTGATGCTGATCTGCAGCTATTGCAGGTTTTTCTGTGGCCACATACATCTCAGATCCTGGAGCCATCACGGCAGCACTTACCCTGCATGCAGAGCCCGTCGGTGCAGTTCTTGGACTGCAGCACCAGCCCCTCACAGTCCTTCCCCCCGTTTTTCGGCGCTGGGGCCGTGCACTCCCTCCGGCGCCAGTGGGTGCACTCCGTGCCGCAGGTGGACCACTTGCTCCAGGACGTCCACTTGCCATCCACTGAGACAAAGAAAGGACATGACTTGTTAGCGGGGTACATAAAAGTGAGACCGAGCGAGAGCGATGCACGGCTCGGCACAAGCCAGCCCCCAACTCCTGGCCATTCCCAGCAAGGCAGAAGGATCGTCAGCCTGCTCTTCTTAAAGTCCTGTTTCTGGCCTGTAAATGCACATTCGCTCTCCCTCTCCTTTCTCTCTGCCCCAACCCCATTTCTGTTCTTTCCTCCCCTTTTTATAAACTTGTCAGCAGTTCATCTGTGCTCACTGTGTACAAGTCGGGAATCTGTGATTTTTTTTTTTTTTTGGCATTTTTTAACGCAGAGGTTAAAGTTCAACTTGGCCAGAAATTCTTCTTTAGTAGGAAGATGTTCAATGTTAAATAGTTTTTATTAAAAGAAATATCTAGAGGCACTGATCTATTTCACATCAGCAGAATCAGGAATGTGTTTAGTGCCTTTCAAAATCCCACAAATGATTTTCAAAAGCACTACACTGAACAGCTGAAGAACAAACTATGAAACTGTTCCAGTGACACAGTCTGAGCCAGGAGTTTGTCACTTGAAGTAGCGATCCGAGATGAAATTCTAGCTTTTCAGTTTCACCCACCACTAAGACCTGGCGTCAGATGACCAAGCTTCACAAGCTGAAGACAACCCTACTGCCACCGACCTGAGTGGGACTGCAGAGGTAGGAAAGCACTGGACAACAGGAGAGATGGCAGAACTTTTGTCACAGAAAAGCCACCAGCTACCTTGTGTGTCCTGGAGCAATTTTGTATTTTTCAGAGGTTTACATTTAAATACCTTTTAAAGGTATGCATGCCCATCTCTTCCCAATATAAATGTCTTTGTACTTGAAGTCAGGTAAATACACATCTCAAATTTAACATCCACATCCCAGATGCTCCACTTGCTGTGACAGCTGGACTGCACAGACATTGCAAATATATTTACACTACAGTTGCTTTCTATATTCAAATTCCCGTCCTTTTCCAGAGCTTTCAATCTTTATCTCCTACAATTTGAAGCTCTGAATGTCCCCCAAATCCCCTGAATTACCAGGTCTGAGACACCGGTGCAAGCTGCATGCAAAAGTGGGTCTGAATCCTCTCCTGCTTGGTATAATGTGCTCACTCTTTTATCTACTTACGTAATATAATTTCAGATTCATTCACTGAAATGTTGGATTTATTAATAAAGAGGAGGAGGCTTTTGTAATAGTCTTCTGAAATGACTGGTGAGAGACAAATTATTTGTCTAGAGCTATGTACTGTTCATACTGAACCTGGACACAGAGTGGTGCAAGCTATTTTCTGAACACTCTGGCCCTCGCAGAAGGCACCGCCATTGAGTGGGGCAGGATTGGTGCAGGTCCTCGTACGCTTCTGAAAGCCTCTCCCGCATCGGCTGTTACAGACTGACCACTCAGTCCAGGTGGACCAGCCTCCATTCACTGAAAAGCAAGAGAGAAAGAGTATGATCGCATAAGCAAGCCGTCCTGCTCAGCCCAAAGGCGCCTCTGGCTCCATGTCACACTGCCTCTGACAGCAGAACGTCACAAGTGATGGCTGGGTGGGGCGTGACGAGAAGCGACACTGAACAGACACAAGCCCACGTCTCCAACGTACCGCTGGTACAGCATGCCAGACGTCGTCATACGAGTCGCAGAAATGCTGAGGCTGAATGAAAAACACCGTCCGATGACTATTAGGGCTGGCAGGTGACCTGCTGCCTTCTCCTGCAAACCGACCTGACCCAGCACTAAGCACCTGGTGGCGTGTGTATGGCCGAAATCTCTGCAGGTTCAAAGAGCACCCACAGCTCTGCCAGCCAGAAGCCTGCACTCTGAAAGCTGCACCATTATTCCAAAGGGAGATAACCCGAGCTCCAGCTCATTCTCAGATGTACCCATTATCTATGCATGCTAAGACACCCCCATGCTTTGATTAGAAATTGGTAATTTTCTTTCCAGAACGTAATTTCAGGATGTCATGACAACTTCACCCACCCCTCTGTGGACATCGCTGACGCACGTAAATGTCCCAGCACTTCCATAATAGATATTTAAGCTGTTCAGAGCGAACTCATACTAAATGCATTTTTACTATTGGACTTTGGGAAGATATTTATGCTGACTCTCTTTTTCACACCCCTCAATTTCTGGGATAGATGGATGGGTGAAGAAGGAGGTGTGCTGCTCTATCTAATAATGTCATCACCAGGGTATGGATAACATACTAACTGCTCAGATTCCCTAAACCCAAATGTTAGTGATACAACAAAGCCCTTAAGCAGCTCTGGTAGCAAACCCCATAAAAATGGCCGCTCCCCTACATATGCCTCTTGAATGCCCTGTTGAAAAAAAATCCTGTATATGTATGAGGAAGAGTTACAGTGTGCCTACATCTTATGGTTGGACTTGATGATCTTAAAGGTCTTTTCCAACCTAAGCGATTCTATGATTCTATGATCTTTATGTTTCTGCATTCATCACAGTTACAAACCACAGTGCTCTTGCGTGGTCCATCCCTCAATATCACAAACACTGCTAATCAACTCAATTCAGTCAGTTTTCTATAAAAACTGAACTAAAAGGCCCTCATTGTAACTTCAGGGAGGCAACTGCTTACAATTAAATCTAACTGCTACCCTGAATATGAAATGAATATTAGGGATAATCATAGGGATTTTTTCCTACTTGTCTATCCTATAATTAAGCTGATTGTAAGGAACACCAGGACAGTCAGCTGGCACGTTGTCAGAGCAGGTTTTGTTCTGGTGGATACCCCTGCCTGGGACGCACCGGGGCAGTAACTTTGCAGGGGCAAAGGCTCGGACTAGTGGGGCAGAGCTGCAGCGCAACCCAGCCTGGAAGAGACCCCAGGAGGGCATCTCATCCACCCCCCCCACCAGCCAAAGCACAGCCATTCTCAATATTAGATTGAGGCTGCGGATGCAGACACAGAATAATGTTATCTCATGCTTCATAGTCCCCTGATGTTTATTTTTAAGCTAGGTTGTCTGCCTATGAACTACAGTCCTGAAGTGCTTTGCTACTTTGCCCCTGACATTAGAGTATGTTTGGGCAGTAGGCACCAAAATTTAGTTGATTTAAAGAGATATAAGAAGATGGAAGATTCTGCTGTGCTCTGACCAGTATCTGGAAGCACAAACTTCCTTTCAGTTTTCCTCTCATTCCTGAAAAGCGACGCTAAGAACATGAAATGCCTTGGTAGAAAGCAATGCCTTGGACGCTCCTGCTGGAGGAACTGCCCTAACGGCTCTTTGCTGCATCCAGCCGGCGTGTGTTATGGCAACAGGAGCAACCACCTTCTCTTCAGTGAGGCAACTGGCTGTTTGCGTAGGTGCCTGTTCCTCCTTTAATGCCGTTGTCTGTCACCCATAAGCCAAGCCACCAGATCTGTACTTCTGAGTATTTTTGGTAAAGACCCCTGACTGCAGTCGCTGCACATGGCTGCAAGTCAACAGGCAGCACAGGCGTCCCAGCCTGGTCATTTTGCACCCCCCTCCTGCCCCACCGCTTGCTTTGAGCGTGTGTCCATCCACGTGCAGCAGGACAAGGCATCACTTACCATAGACGATCACCGTCGCCGTGGTGCTCTTCCTTTTGGCCACAATGTTTTTGGCGACACAAGTGTAATTGGCCGTGTCAGAAAGCCGGGCTTGCTTAATGATCAGGTTGTGATCAATGGTGATGTAAAAATTTCGGTCTTCCACTGGATCAATCACCTCTTCGTTCTTCAGCCACTCCACCTTAGGGTTTCAAAGGGCCAGAGGGGAGGCAGTGAGTCAGCACCAGGTCACACCACAATGGGCACAGCATCTGTGATTGCATTGCTCATCCCAGAAAGCGCAACGAGTCAAGGCACATCACCAAGGACTCACCTGAGGCACGCTGCCAACTGCAATGGGACACCAGGGCAGAAAGGCGGGAGAACACCCTTCATGCCTACCCTTTCCATCAGGTCCCCTTCCCTCCCACCCTTCCACACAACAGCTGTCTTGCCTTGCCTCCAAAATACCAATGCATTTTCAAAGGCTGCCAGCTACTGTACAAAGAGCTGATCTATGTTTTCAGGGTCTGAGGTAAAGGTTAAGGAAAGGGTGATACCTTAGGACCGTATCTACAAACAGAAAATCCCCTTACAACATCAGAAACACTACAACAGCAGAGAACTCACCTGTTCTTCTGTACGTCGTGTCTATTGGGCAGTTAATAGCACAGTAACCTTGTACGTACCTGGGTCTAACACAATGAGGCCCTGCACGAGTGTAGGTCCCACTAACAAATTACAAACATGCCAATGTTTTTAAGTATACATGCACTCACACGTACATGCATATTATTGTTTTGCTGTAATCAGCATTAAACAAAATAGAGACAGTTACCAAGGAAATAGGGAATCACAAAGACTACATCAGTGCTTATTTTTCCCTTTCCTTTATGTAAGCTATATTTTATTTTAATAAAGCGTAATTTCCTTGGTTACACAGAAAAATATTTTCACATGTGATTTTTAATCTAGACAATGTTCTCTTTATTGCCTTCCTAAAGAAACACCCTATTATACCCCAGCTGACTGCTGCGAGCCACCCTAATGTAATTTGGCTGCAAATCTAGTAGCTTGTTTTCATTTGAACTGAGCGTGCTCTAAAGGATGGGACTGGGGCCCTGGATGGATCAAAACTGGGCCTTCATGTCACTGGATCATTTCAGCTTGAGCCCAGGATTTAAATAAAGGAAAAAAACCATAAACACAATCAACTTGCCAGACCTGCGAGGTGCTAACTGCCAAGACCTGCTCTCCCAAACCCCACTTTTCCAAAAACATTTGAGGAACTGCCCGAGCACTGGCATACCCCAAACCCAACAGAGAACCTGCTCCCCGCCTCAAGACAGCCATACAGACCACCCTGAGCTGTGAGGAAAAAATCGATGGCCTCTCCTGGTGGTAAACACAGAGGGCTCAATTCATCCCCAGACGGAGCCGGTCTAATGCTCGCAAGACCACTGCTGGCAGACAGGGGCTTGGATTCAAGCTTCCCACCGCCCGCTACCCATCTTTAGCCCTACTTTAAGCAGCTCCAGCTCCCCTACCACAGTTTGGGTGGATGTGCATCAGGTGTGAGCTGCTTCCAAAGGTGTGAGCTGCTTCCAAAGACATACACCTTAGTCAATGTAAAGCCGCTGCCCCGAGGAAGGATTGACTGAAACCCTCCTCTCCCACAGCAGGTTGCTGAAGTATGTGGTAGTTTCACAACTATTGATACTGTACAGCTTACAATTGGTGGTGCAAAAAGGGCTGTGGAAATGGATATGTGTGTCTGCGAGGTACAGGGAAGGAAGAAAAAAAGACATAAACCTTTGGAGGCTGTGTTTCTGTCACTACAACATTCATGTTTTACCATGGAAGATACAAGCTCTTAGTCAATGTCCTGGTTTTCCTTGCCAGGATGACTAAAATTGTTCTTCCTTCTTTCTTGAATCCTAATAGGTATCAGGCATAATCAAGACAGACAGACTCCTGTTCAGTCAACAGCAATACTTAGCTCCTTCCTCACCCACAGGTCAAGTCTACATGCATCCCAGACTGAAAAACAAGCCAGGAGCTTAGCTGCCCACCAGTGGCAGGCTGCCCCTTAACCCCCGCCTCTCACACAAACAAAATGTCTTTCTTGATTTTTAATACAACTATGCATTTCTGGGATGGCGTACAGACTTGTGTCAGGACTCTAAAAGACCACACCTTGAATACTGTGTTCAGTTTTGGGCCCCTCACTACAAGAAAGGCATTGCCTTGCTGGAACATGTCCAGAGGAGAGCCACAAAGCTGGTGAGGGGTCTGGAGCACAAGTCTTACGAGGAGTGGCTGAGGGAACTGGGGTTGTTTAGCCTGGAGAAGAGGAGGCTGAGGGGAGACCTGATCGCCCTCTACAACAGCCTGAAAGGAGGCTGTAGCGAGGTGGGGGTCGGCCTCTTCTCCCTGGTAACGGGCAATAGGATGAGGGGAAATGGTCTGAAGTTGCGCCAGGGCAGGTTTAGGCTAGACATTCAGAAAAATTTTTTCACCAAAAGGGTTGTCAGGCTCTGGAATGGGCTGCCCAGGGAGGTGGTTGAGTCTCCATCCTTGGAGGTATTTAAAAGACGGGTAGATGAGGTGCTTAGGGACATGGTTTAGTGGTGTGATGGCAGTGCTAGGTTAACAGTTGGACGTGATGATCTTAAAGGTCTTTTCCAACCTAGACAATTCTATCATCCTGTGAAAGACTCCACAGGTGCGCTGCCACAGCCGTGTACGTACCACCTTCAAATCCACCTGCACTTTTCCTGTGCTCGTCCCATTGAGGACATCAGGACATCAGTGAGGACAGGACTACAGTCTTACATGGTCTAAATCTCACTCCAAAATGTTTCTGGTATGTCCATCCAACCGCATACTCTAGCAGCCCTCGGCACCATGCAAGGCTCCGTGCTCAAGCATGCGGTTATCTTTTTCCCGTGCTCTGCAACACCTTCTCTCACCACAAAAGCACACACACCCATATTCAGTCTGGGTCTCAGCTGATTAGACAAAATTAAAGCTATGAGCATTAAATTCCCTATCATCCCTGCAAAAACACCGAAGATGGTATGAAAACAGGAGTTGTCAATATCAGAAAAAAAAAAGATACTCTATTTCAGTATACTGCCTCTGGCTCTTCACCAGGTCTCTCAGGAAAAATATCCTTTGCACCTAATGGCTCACAGAATTTGCTAACAATAAAACATTAAGTTTGCAGAACAACAGGATGTCTTTTTTTCTGAAAAATCTGTTTTGCCAGTACATCGGTAGTATGTGTGCATGTCTAAACCCCATCTCTTTTACAAGATACCTCTTTAATAAATCTAATTCAGTCTTCTTCTGGCATCCAGGTTTTTATGATGTCATGAGCCTGTACACGTTGCAAACTGTAATGTCGTCAAATCTGAAGGGAGAATCTGATGGCTGGTTTGACAAAAGGTGGGACCCTCCTTTCATCCACTTTTCAGCCATCAGCAGAGCACCACAAAAAAGAGCACACTGCTCCAGCGGTTGTGTTTTCTCCCTCGGTCCTTGTCGAAATGGTAACTCATTAAACACACTGCAGCACGTAAATGAGACTTTTGTTGGGACTTATTTTCAGTTACTAACGGCCTCGTTTTTTTCTGGTGCAGGTGACTGCAGCGCCCAGCACCTCCAAACCTCAGATGTATTTTTTTGAGGTAACCAGAATAGGTGGGAGCGGGGTTGTTCTGCCACGCAAGTAGGAAGAGATCAGATGTCAAACACAAAAGAGAAGAGAACAGAGCGGAACAAGACAGTGTGATTTATGAATGACAAGTATGCAAACTGTTATTACAGAAGTTAAAAGCAACGATCTCCTTTGATGCCGTGTCATTCCCCAAGGCACAGCCCCCTCGCTGAAGTAGGCTGTTAATGCAGTCAATGCCGAAATTTATCCTGAATTTAATTCTGCTGCCTGAATAACGGTGACCGGTGCCCTGGGGAAACCGCCATGCTCGCAAGATGCTGGCGGATGAGGCCCTGGACATTTATGTGCCAGAGACCTGCACCCCTCCGGGCGAGCAGACAGAGGGGCAGCAGGGTACCCGCGGGCATTTCGGAGGGCACAGGATGCCTGTCTTGAGGGTAACACCAAATCACGCCTTTGTGGCTCCATTTTTCAACTCTCCGGAGAAGACGCTTCTAGAGCATATCTTTGCTTTTGCCTAAATATCGAGGATGTATATTTACTAGCTATAGTCACAACAATTCTTCAACAGGTACCTAGCTCTATTTATTCGATTAAATCAGGCATTTCCCACCAACTGTTATTAATAAATGTACAGATGGCTCTGCATATACATAGAAAAAGCCTGGGCATCAGTTTTTCCTTATCATAACAGAAATCATTTAATTGGCAACAATACTGCCATGAAGGATGGGGTAAGTGTTCCCTTATGGAGATGACAGCTATGGAAAATTACAACAACATGCAACTGTTTGGTTTTTTTTTTTTTACATATCAGCCCCCTGGAACAAAGCAGACCTAAAACCCCCATCTCTTTTTTTAGTGTTCCACTCAAGAAGGTATTTTGGTTATGTGTTTGCAAACTGACTAGCAAGAGAAGGCCCCTCTGCAAAGGTGTGAGTGTCGTGAATGAAATCCTGACTCACAGCAACTGGGGACGCTGAGAAGGTGGAGCGCACCCGAAGCTAGCTACTTTTTGGTCAGAGCTCTTTAGTGCTCTGGATGTAATTTGCGGAGCAGTGAGGCACGCGGCTCCTGCCAGCTGTGCTGGATCTAGGCATCCAGTGGTGCTAAGGCGCTGGCAAGCCTGCCGCGAGCCTGAGCCATCCTCGCCACCGCCTGAGGAAGCGCACGATCCAAGGCAGCTGTAATTTAGAGCAGGATACCTTGTGTAGCGTCTTTTCTGTCATCCCGCTCCCCAGTGAGAGACAGATGTGTTGTCTCTAATTATTCGCTGATTGGTATCGGGAGATACATTAACATAATTGGCACATTTGTTCTAACTAACAGAGGGAACCTGCCACATGCCACCCAACATGAAAAGCGAGGCCATCAGCAAGAACAGAAAACCCGCAATCGCTGCCCCGGCTGCACCTTGGAGCTGCAGCCAGACCTGGGATGTTTCCAGCAGCAGCCTGAAATACGGCAGCACACACAGAGACCAAGACTTGCAAAGCTGGGCCAGGCTTCTGTGCAGACTA